GGTGCTATTTTGTGGTAGCCAATCTTCAAAACTGTCCCCTACTGAACCACTAACATCCATCCTCTTGTGTGATCCCTTCCATAGTTAATTTGGGCTGTCCCTAGTGACTAGCTTTAGCTACGATAATACAGTGGAAGTGAAGCTATCATAGTTCAGAGCCTAAGCTTTAAGAAGGCCTAGAAGAACCTTCTAGAGACCCCTGAACTACCATGTAAAATGTCTATCTACCCAACTGGAGAGAACACATCGAGAGTCTGTGTGGAGAGAGAGACCATAACAATACAAAGAAGAACTACTCCATGGAAAGAGAGAGAGCCCAGCATACCAGCATAGCTCCAGGTGCGGCTGTCCAGCCCCAGCTGCCATCGTATTGTAACTACAAGGGAAAAAACAACTCAGACCCACAGAACCATGAAAGACAATAAAGTGGTTGTTTAAGTCACTATGTTTTGGTTGGCTTTGTAAGCAGCAGTAGATAGGTGGAGCAGAAGTTATCACTTTCTTTTATTGTTTTACATTTCTAAAGAAATGTTATTACTGTGGTTAGCCCATTTTTTTTTATTCCATACTTTATGAAAGGTCTGAGAATTCATTTAACTTAATCATTTAGGCATAGACTATGGATTGTGTAAAGCCACATTTAGACAAGACTGATTAGAATGCTTACCACCCATTGATCCTGGGATCTGGAGCTGAATGCAGCAGCATCTACATATGAGTTGGAATTATGATGATTATTAGAACAGATGTCTATATTAGGAGGAAATACACTTGAAATAATTTGTAAAAAAATGAATGATTCAAGTATGTTTCCTCACAATATAGGAGGAATATAAGGGGAAAGATATTTATTTGTCAGCATTTCCTAGTGTCACTTTCGTACTCTTTCTGTTAACATAATCTTCTTTGGTGGGAAACCTATTGTATGTAGTTTGGGGGTACAGATGTTATCCTAGTGTCACCACAAAATTCTGAGCTTTGAGAAAAGTCTATTTAGAGATTGCTTAACTTACAGAATATGCATCTGAGACTACTTCCAGTCATTTGCCTACCATGTAGGCAGAGCCTTTTTGAGAGAGAAAACAAACCAGATAGAGGAAAATATAAAGAAACATGGAAAGAAAGAAAAAAAGAGAGAGCCTTGACAACATTGTTAAATCATCCAAACAAATGATACTTCACCTTTCCAGGAATATAAGTGAATAAAAAGCTCTTTAATTTATGAAGATTGTTGCTATTTGCTTTTGAGTTGTTTTTCCATTATTTCATACACAGGAATATGACTAATGTCATTTTCACAAAATATTAATATAACTTTCCTTAAGAATCAAATACTGAACAAGTAAAGCATACATTCTCTATACCATATTCTTTTCCTGGGAGAAGTATTACAAGAGGATCATATTCTGTGACATGTCATAATGACCCCTATGAATCCTTTTCAACAGATTTTTGCTCAGCATTATTTCCCCTGGAATATAACTTGAAGAGTCTGTCAGTTTGTGCTTCTTCAGGGCCCAATTTCAGGCGGGGTGCCTGGAGGCATGCACAAGGACAGCATTATCAGACAACCTGGCAGACCTGGAACACAGAGCCCAAGTATAGGGACATGTCTGGCTTAGAAACAGGAAATCACCTGAGCTACCATAAACTTCAGTCTGGGAGTGAAATCATTGGGAGCCAAAAAAAAAAAAAAATAGCACACTCTGGGTTTAATAAGAGTCAGGAATTTGTGGCCTGAAGTCATAATAGAGAGTAGAGCCCTGCAGGGTGTGGTGGCTCATACCTGTAATCCCAGCACTTTGGGAGGCTGGCAAGTGGATCACTTGAGGCCAGCAGTTTGAGACCAGCATGGCCAACATGACAAAACCTGTCTCTCCTAAAAATACAAAATCAGCTAGGCGTGGTGATGCACATCTGTAATCCTAGCTACTAAGGAGGCTGAGGCAGGAGAATCACTTGAACCTGGGAAGTGGATTCTATAGTGAGCCAAGATTGCGCCACTGCACTCCAGCCTGGACAACAGAGCGAGACTGTCTCAAAAAAGAAAAAAAGACGAGTAGAGCCCTAAGAGCTACATTACAAAGGCTAGTCATGAAATAAAATGGGGTAAATCACCATGATAGGATTAGAGGCTGCAAGGGTCCTACCTAAAGGAATCTTGCTGAAGATATACCCTGTCGCTCACTTGGTATGTGTGTTTGTGAGCACGGGCATATGCGTATATGTAGACCTCATAAAGATGGCAACAACAAGAAGTGGGTCCTCAACTGCCGTATTAAAGTAAGAACTCTTTGACTTTGCTTTTTAAATAAGTGCTTTCCAACGTGCTCCATGGAACACTATTCTCGTATCATGCCCCATAGTTACTAAGACTGAGAAACAACACATGTGAATATAAGACAGGGAAACAGAGCATATTATAGGCTTCTCTTACAGATTCTCAATAGACATAATGACAACATTAAAGGTTGTGAGAAGTTCTATAGTAAAGAGATTGCTTAACATTTGTTAATCTAAGATAGTTCAACTCCTTCAGCAGATATTAACATCTCAGTAGATCAGTTCATTAGCCCTTAGTCTGGAGAAGATTGTTCTATTGAACACTTTCCATGAAACTGCCACACTATTTAGCATGACACTGAGGCTGTATTATTCACTCCAAATCACATTTATAGACTTTTCACCTACTTGCTGCCTGCAGAAAAATACCGATCCAGCCACACAGGTCCATTCTTAAATTCTAATTGTTACATACATTTTTATGATACAATTTGCTTCCTATATTCAGTAACAGTCTTTACCCATCCTTCAACTGAACTCAAAATTTTACTTCCTCTGTGATGTATCTCCCCATGTCCCATTCAAAATGTGATATTTCTCCCTCTAAATCTTTACAGCAATGTCTTAGCTCTCTTTTAAGCATTAGTTTGACTTAACATTAGTATTATTTGTTGAATTAAAATATCTTTTTAAGTGGTATTAGAAGTTATCTTCTTATACCCTGTTGTCTAGCACAGTAATATGAATACATAAAGAAAGCTGAAAATAGGTTACATTAAACTGAATCATACAAAGTTATATTTAGGAATTTACTAAATGGGAACATTGCGCGATGGTGATTTAGAAAAGCAATCGTAGATGGCTATATCCAGGCATCAACTTTTTTTTTTTTACTATTTTATATTATATAAAAATGTGATACTATGGACTCCTCAAGGTTAATCAAGATGGCTTGCTGCTACTCCCTCGAGATAATCCAGCATCATCTCTTCATATTGTACTTTTTCCAACCAGAAAACCTGGAAATGACACTTTCTATGTGCTTAAATATCAGAAATTCTCCAGTGTAATCTTTGGCTTTATATTCCTCATTTTATAATGCTCTTCTGGAATGAATGAGGCACCTGGGCCCCCTTTGTAACTCCATCTTTTTCCATCAATATAGTGAAAAATATTTCACTTCAATATTAATGGGGAATCTCATATTGATTTGTATGCAAAAATACAATGGGAATTATTATGCCTCTACCTAAAAGAGACACAGTCATAGCAGGGTGGCATAGGAAAAAAAATCCCCAGGCTTTGAAGGCAGACAGTCCTGAACTGAACTCATCCCCCACTACCTCTCAGCTGTGTAACATTAGGGTATTTCAGTTACTCTCTAAATCTACTCTTTTATTCATAGGCTAAGAACAGTAAGAGCTATTTTGTAGTATTGTTATTTAAATGAAATGATAGATTATAGTAAAAATGCCTTACATTTAGTGCCTTATGCCATATATTTTCCATATATGAAGCTTATATTCTTGGTCCTCTATGACATAAACCCAGGACATACTGAGCCTAGGCCCATGTAAAGAAATCAAATATTTATCTGTCCTTTACATAACACTTTTTTGATTACCTTTCTAAAGTGTGCCAGGTACTATAAGTAAGCTCATTAATATATATTTTCCTATTCTTAATGCAAAGATACATAATCAGATAATTACCAAATAATCAAAAATGATCTAATAGAGGTAATAATAGAGTTATTAGAGTAATTTGGAAACACAAAGAGCTAGTAAATGTTGGAGTCTTGAAGGGTAGTTAGCACTGCTCTTTTCTACTTGTCTCTGGAATTATGACAATGAATCAAATAATTAGAAGTGAAAAATATACCTTTTGATACTGATAAATCGTGGAGTTGTGGTACATAGTTCAATGGGAGGGCAAAATGGATTTACCATCACCTATATTGAAACAGAATCAACCAATCCTAAGAAATTTGGGTCATCCCAAGGGAAGGGGTCTTCATACTCTATTTGTGAGATGGCCCAGAGCAGTGATGATTGCAAGCTCTCAGTTGGCATGCTGGAACTCAGAGAAGAAAGAGAAAAATGGACCTCACATGCCTAGCTCATTCTTAGGAAAATTATCAGGAAAAATAATGTCACCTTCCTGGATTGGAATGAGTGGAGTGCTGACAGAGGCCAAAATAACTTACTACAGTTCTCTTGGATGTTAGAGTGGGAAGGAATAATTCTGTCTCTAAAAATAACTAATCTATTTTAGGCAAGATGATGATGTATTTGTATTTGCCAGGATTTTCCTAGTTTACATCTGTTTTCCCAGTGTAATAATGCATCGTGTTCCTTTTTATTCTCAAAAGAGTTCAAGTTTGCATGATGAATTATGTGGCCATCTTAATATTAGAAGATAAAGCAGATTTCTCTGGAGGTACAGATTGCAGCCCAGTCTTTCGGAATGAGTAAGGGTTACTGCGTCTAAGAAAGAAGTGATGAGGCATAGGAATAAAAAAAGAGAGGGGGATGGGCAAAGAGAAGCACACACTTCAGGAAAGCATGGAGAAAGGGCGGAACAAAGAAACAGTGTGGTTTGTGCAGAAATTACAAAAATTTATAATTTTTTACAGCATCAAATGTAAGAGAGAAATGATAAAAGAAGAAACTAAAATTGGGTTTCTATTAGGAAAAAAGGAAGGTGAGATCTTCTCAGGACAGAATGACACAGATACAAAAGGCAGTCTTTAGGGCTGGCTGAGCCCACATTTATCTGCTCTCCTAGAAGCAATAGCTCAGCTCCCAAAAGAAGAATTACAAACCTGAGAAGTCAGAGGAAAAGTACGGAACAGGGGTTCTGATTAAACAAGAAAAATCAATTAATGACATTGGTACCCTATTCTTCATTTCAGTACTAATACAAACTCAACCCTTTTCAATCAGGGTATCTGCCATTCTACTTCTAATAAAGTAGTTTTACAACCCCTAAAGTAAAAGAATTACATGAAGGCGTAAACCAATTTGCCTCCTTTAGAGGCATTGCAATGTAGAAGACAATTTTTTTTTTTTGTAAGCTTCTCCTTCTCAGTTCTGCAGGCTTCATGGTACTTCAGAGCCTCAATAATCAAGCAGTTCATGAAAAAAGATAAGGTGATTTGCTGCCTTCCTCCCCATCACCTACATCTGGCATCTCTCCCCTTGCTATCTCTCCCCAACTCCCTACCCCCCACCGTCCCTCCCCTATTGCCCCCCAACAGATCCCAGTGTGTAGTGCTCCCCTCCCTGTGTCCATGTGTTCTCATTGTTCAACACCCGCCTATGAGTGAGAACATGTGGTGTTTGATCTTCTGCTCTTCTGTCAGTTTGCTGAGAATGACGATGGGGAGGAAGGCAGCAAATCACACTGCCATGTGTGTACCTATGCAACAATCTTGCATGTTCTTCACATGTACCCCAAAACCTAAAATGCAATAAAAGAAATTTTAAAAAAAGATTATCTAGAAGTAGAAGCTTTATATTTTTATATAAAATTAATGGACATGGTATTCATTAAAGTAAACCAAGCCTGAATACATTGTGAAATAAATCACAATCCAGAATGTTAAAAAAAAAAAAAGAAAAAAAGTGAAAAAGTGACACAGAGATCTGTGAAGACTTTGCCCATTTTGCCACAGGTGTCCATTGATCGATTTATCACTTCAGCAGGAATTCCCGATAATAGAAGTGCAGCTGTTAGTATTGTTGTCTTTATCTTCTTTTCACTCTTGGGAAACTATTTGTACAATCCCATGTATGCTAGTTGTAAAGTAAGAAATGGAGCAAATATGGACAAGTATTTGCAAACAAAAGCTCTGACTCCAAGAGCAAGAAGAGCACATCCCACCAATCTAAATATTCGAAAAGAGTCAAATTCTTCTGTTGTACTTCCACCCTCTTGATTGAGTTTTTCACTAATCAGTGGTTTCTTTAGCTTCACTGCTTCTTCGAATCTGGAAAGATACTGCTCTAGGCCATGACGAGAACCCCTGTGGACTGTGTCCGCTGTCCCCTCTGTTCCGCTGCTGGAGCCCAGGGCTGACATCATTACTGCACTTGGGGGTTTAATGAAAGAGTCCAGTTTGTCTCCCAGCTGGGTCCCCTTTACCTCGGCCATACCACCCTGCTGGTCAGTTGTTCCTGTACTGACCGAATCACCTAGCACTGCTGGCTTTGACACTGAAGGAACGCTGAGGGACTTCAGTTTATCACTGTCCTGCTGCTTTGATTTTGTTTGATTTTCTTCTTCAGTGCGGCTCCCGGGCCTGTGAAAGCCCATGATCCAGTTGATGCGCTGTTCCCAGTTCATGAGCAGCTTTCTCCAACGCAGATAGGCCCGATGCTGGAAAGCCGACAGGCCTGACCCCACCGGGACCCCAGCCTGCCCCATCGTTGGTGGCGACGGCCATTGACTCCATCCTCCAACCACAGTCCATTTTGATATTTTCATTTTTTCAAAACATTAAAAAAATTATACTGTGTTTAAACTCAAGACATTCGAAAAATTTTAACTCTTTGTCCAGACAAATGTATATATTTCAATCAAATTTCACCTTTTATTTATCAAGCAGCACTGAGTCCCACTGTAAAAATATTTCTTCACTTAACGTTAACGGGAAGACACTCCTTAGCTTCACCCCATTCTGCTTTGTCTCAATTTCTATCCATTAGGGCCCTTACTCATCTCCCAGATGTTTTATATGTTACCATTTTATTATCCACAGTAAGATACAAGTCCTAAGTTTATACATGAGGAATTAAATACTCAAAGATCGGTAAGATAATATTAACCTAAATCATGCCACCAATAACTATCAAAACTCTATCTTAAATCCAAAACTGTTTGCTTCAAAATCAAATGACCTTTGGGCTACAACATATTGCTTCATTTGCATTACCATGCTTTTCATTAGATTCAAAAAGGGTCTTAGAGTGTTTCTTTAAACATTGCCTAAACTTTAGCTGTTTTTAAATTATTCAACATACAGGACAGTCATATCAATCAGAAGAAATCAAATGATGGTTTAATGATAAACACATTAAATCAGTTGTACACCTGCAAAAATGCATCACAATTTTGTATTCCAGGGAAACTATTTCCACCACCATAACTTTTAAGAACTGGAACAGAAACAAACAAAAGGAGGAAAGATGTTTCCACTCCTTCTCTTCTATAACCCTGAAGTATTGTCTTCTATGTCTCCTAGTGTCTCTATCACTACCTTCATTACTAAATCTCTATTTAGTGGAGTGTAAAATTATTCCTCCTTGCTACTCAATCTTTTTCTCTTTCACCTCATTTTAGCCAATAGATATGTTGCTTGAGAGACAAAAAAAAAAAAAAATCAAATTTAAATAGTCCTATAGCACTTCTGAGACTGCTCTAAATTTCAAGTTAACTTATTTGCATTTTGTCATTAACTATGCACTTTTAAAAATAATTTCCCAATTCTTTTTCATACAGAAAAGTTTCATATGAAACTTTAAAAAAGTTCTTATGAGTCAGATGGAAAAATATTTCTATTTTGACAGACAATATACATTACCAAGTGCAGGAACAATTTAGAAAGCATGCATTCATTCTAAGACCAGACTCATAGACAAGACAAACAAATATAAAAGACTGTAATCCTTGAACTGTATAAAAAGAATCCTGAACTTTTATGCTTTTATAACCTGGGCGTGATTGTATGAGTACTATGTTGAAATGTTAGAAGACGAACAATGAATTATGCAGAACTAAGAGCAGTTGATACTTTGTTAAGTTTACTTGCCATGGATAGAGTCTCTGAAAAGTAAAATGTGACATGAGACTTTCCAATATCTTCCATCTACAAACCAAAATACCTCTTATGTTTAACCTAGATACCTCACGGCACATTTTAGTTAATTCTTTTGTTTCTTCCCAGTATATCTCATTCAAAATACTCTAGAAAAGCAAATCAATAGCTGATCCAAAAACTTTTTGCTTTATTATCCAAAAGTCAAATAATTTTAACCTTTTGTAGAGGATCAGTTTTGCAAAATTCTGTTTTTTAAGGTTCTACTCTGAGCCATCTCCTAATTACTCCTAACAATGATATGATGAAAAATTAAACACAGGACTCAATTAGAGTCTCACTGATAATTAATAGATTAACTCCTGGTCCTAACATAGGTAAACTCCTTCATGATCCTTAAAAACTGAGTTAAAAATATGAGCAATGGCTAATAACATTTGCCTAAAAATTTCTCTGAACTCTATAGGTTTAAAAAGTCAAATTTATTATATACCCCGAAAATACCGATTTTTTTGACATTTATTTATCAGTTTTGGTTAGTTTATCCTGCTCTTCAGTTCACCATAGAACTGCATACCTACTGATACAAAGAAATGGAACAAAGAAAATAAATATAAGTTAAAATCTCTGCCTTCAATTAAAATAATACAGAAATAATAGATAGAAAACAGCAAGGACAACTGTGAAACACCAGAAAATATTTTCTTGTTGAGGGTTGAGGGAGATCTGGAAGGGAATAAAGAGGTCATTGAAGTGACTACGGCTGAGAAAGGAGTCTGCACCCCACCTGCCACTGGGGCTCCCTCCTGCAAAGCGTCAGTGGGGCAAAGGATGACTAAGGCTCCTAATTTAATTGAAAATATTATTTCCATACAACTTTTATAGAAATTTCCAATTTTCTAGAAAACAGAAAAGTAGAGAAACATACCTCATGTCAGAATCCCAGAGAAGCAGGAAGATCATAGACATGGTTGTATGATCCAAGTTTTCCCACTTCCTGGTATAGAACAAAAGAAGTAAAATTATTCATGAGCGGAACTGTGCAGATATCTAGGCAAAAAGTGCTACTTTTATCGTGAGCCTAGAAATTTAAAAGGTGAAGTTGGGTAAAGTGGGTGACCAAGCAACCATCCTCTAGGCAGACACCATGACATACATAAATCTACCCAGAATGTAGATGCACTTCTAAGAACATAGAGAATGATCCTTTAGTACTGAAGTTGTTTTTTGGTTTTCATTCTGTTTTTTGCTGGTTTTATCATCACAGAATAAATTCTGGACATTAAGTAATATAAGTTAAAGAAAAATAAAGAAATATGTTTATGTTTTAAATTGATACCTGTACTAAAGTATTCATCAAGTATTTCATTATCATTATACATTTTTTTACCAAATTTGGATTTAATAAAACTAGATGATGGGCCGGGCGCGGTGGCTCACACCTGTAATCCCAGCACTGTGGGAGGCCGAGGCGGGTGGATCACGAGGTCAAGAGATCAAGACCATCCTGGTCAACATGGTGAAACCCCGTCTCTACTAAAAATACAAAAAATTAGCTGGGCATGGTGGCGTGTGCCTGTAATCCCAGCGACTCAGGAGGCTGAGGCAGGAGAATTGCCTGAACCCAGGAGGCGGAGGTTGCGGTGAGCCGAGATCGCGCCATTGCACTCCAGCCTGGGTAACAAGAGCGAAACTCCGTCTCAAAAAAAAAAATAAAAATAAAAAATAAAATAAAGCTAGATGATATTCATTTTGTATTTATTCTTATTTACCATGTTCAGCATTTTATATACATTATCTAACGTAATCCTCAGAAAAATCTGATAAGGTGGGTATTATTATAATTGCTAGTTTGCTGATGAAGATTATGAGGCTTAGAGAGGGTTAATAAATTATCTA